CCATGTTGGCCAGGGTGGTCTTGAATTCCTGACCTCAGGTGATCCATCCATCTCAGCCTCCCAAAGTGCTGGGATTACAGGCGTGAGCCACTGCGCCTGGCCAGATGGCCTACTTTTTAAGAGAAACTAAAAATCCTGGCATTTAGCTGAAATTCCCCAGTTTTCAACAGTTAAGCTTAATTTTTCAAAACGCCACGTGGCATGTATGAACCAGAGAGCTGCGTGCGTGGCCTCCCTCGGGAGGCCCTGGGAGGCCGTGCCCGAGGCCCCTTCGGCTGCCCCAGCCTGTCCTCTCTGAAGCCCTCACTCACCAGCTGGGCCCGTGGGCCTTCTCTGTCGTGGCCCCGGGTGAGCGAGAGGGATGGCGTCAGGGAGGAAGTCCTCGTTCCAAGGCGGTGGGGTGGTCTGGGGGGCCGGCAGGTCGTTGTCCGGGCTCGAGGGCCGCTCTGCTGCTTCTAGCAGGAGGACCTGGGTGGAACGAGGCAGATAGTCAGGTCCCAGTCGGGCCAGGGTGGGACATGTATGTGCACTCCATGAGACCTGCAGCTGTCACGCTCCTTAGTGGGAGCACTTCACCCGAGGCTGGAGTGCTCTCCCTGCCAGCCCTATCCTTCTCACATCAGGAAAGTCCTCCTGGATCCTAAGGTTCAAGCAGTGCCCTTCAGACACCTTCAAAGTCCCCGTGCTGGCCAGGAGCAGTGGCTCATGCCTGTCATCCCAGCACTTTGGGTGGCTGAGTCGGGAGACTCACTTGAGGCCAGGAGTTTGAGAGCAGCCTGGGCAACACAGTGAGACCCCCATCTCTACAAAAATAGAAAATTAGCCAGGCATGGTGGCACACGCCTGCAGTCCCAGTTACTCAGGAGTCTGAGCTCAGGAGTTCAAGGCTACAGTGAGTTATGATTGTGCCACTACGCTCCAGCCTGGGCAACAGATCAAGAAGACTCTATCTATTAGAGAGAGAGAGAGAGAGAAGAGAGAGAAAGGAAGGGAAGAAAGGGAGAGAGGAGGAAGGGTGGGCATACATACATCCCTTATGGCACGTGATCTTTAGAAGGTTTTCCAGAAAAACAAAAGTAGCCACGGTTGCTTGGGACCAGCCTGCAGGGCGGCCCCGTCTATCTCTCCTTGAGTGACGCAGGAGTCAAAGGCGGCAGAGACCCAGAGCCTAGGAACCGGAGACTTTCTCCTTCATTTAAGCCCCCTGAAAGCCAGGACTCAGAAACCCCGTGAGTCCCTGCTGCCCCCAAAGAGGCCAGCAGGGGGTGCTGTGTGCCTGAAATGGGCTCAGGGTGGGTGGAGTTTCCTGCTGGGAACCTGGGTGGGCCCCGGGGCCAAGGAGTGTCAGGGACCTGCTGGGCTGTGTTGAGGGTCCATGGTGCACAGGCAGATGGTCTCCCTGAGTAGCCCCCTCCCCAGTTCTGCAGTGCCCCTGGGCCTGGGGGGCAGTCCTGGGATCTGGGGACAAAGTGGCCTGCTCTGGGCTCCTCCCCAGCAGGTGGGTCCCCAGGACATGCTCCGCAGCTGCTCAGGGCTCTGACCCTGCACCCAGGCTCCTGGTTGGGCCCCCTGGGCTCAGGCCCTGCTGTGGGCTGCAGAATGGGCCCTCCCCCCACCTCCCTGCGGGACACAGCCCTCTGATGACCTGGATGCCTGGCCCAGGCCACCTTGACTCCCCAGGGCCAATTCTTTCAGCCCCTCCCCTTTCTGGTCCTTAGAAGGGCCCATGAAACCCAGAGGGTCACTGTGGAGACATCACAAATGAGGTGGAGACAGAGGCTCAGAGACGGCAAGGGACTTGCCTGAGATCACCCAGCAAATCCGGGGCCCCACGCGGTGCCTCATCCTCCAACCCGCAGTTTATTCTCCCAACAGCTCTGCCTTGACCCTGACTGAGCTTTGTGGAGGCAAAGAGAGCGGGGGCTGCTGGCACAGATCACACAGCAATGAAGGGTGGACCTCAGTCTCTTGACTCCCAGAATCCCCAGGAGGAGGGATGGGTTCCAATTCCTGCCCCGGACGCTGGCATCCCTGGAGAAGCTGATGGGCCACAGCCAGGGTTAGGGGCTCTGGGGAGGAGCAAGGAGGCTGCAGCTGCTGGGTCACGTGATGGAAGGGCCCGGGTACATGATGGAAGGGCCCAGGACAGGCAGCGCAGGGGACTTGGAGAACTGTCAGGCGCTCTTTCTCCCGGGGCTGGGGGCAGGAGGTGGGGTGAAGGCTGGAGTGTCCTTCCCCTTTCTTTTTCTTTTATTTTTCTGAGACAGAGTTTCGCTCTAGTTGCCCAGGTTGGAGTGTGGTGGCACGATCTTGGCTCACCGCAACCTCCACCTCCTGGGTTCAGGCGATTCTCCTGCCTCAGCTTCCCGAGGTAGCTGAGATTACAGGCATGCACCACCATGCCTGGCTAATTTGGTACTTTTAGTAGAGACAGGGTTTCTCCATGTTGGTCAGGCTGGTCTTGAACTCTTGACCTCAGGTGATCCACCCGCCCCAGCCTCCCAAAGTGCTGGGATTACAGGCGTGAGCCACCGCGCCTGGCTGTGTCTCTCCCCTTTGAGGCCTGGCTGCTGGGAATAGAAACGCCCACAGTGGAACAAGGGCACAGGAGAGGCAGGTTTGGGAGTGAGGGTGGTAAGTTGGGGTGGGTCGGGTTGCAGTATCCTGGGGGATGCCCGGATGGCCACATTTAACAGGGGGTTGTCCCAAGGGCTGGGAGGAGGAGGTAGGGGGGCCATGAGAGGGGGCGAGGAGAGGCTGGGGTGGAGGAAGAGGGGAGCAGGGTGGAGCTTGGGAGAGATTTGGGGAGGGGCCCCGCCCTGGGCTCCTGCAGGCATGCCCTGGCAGTTCCCCATTCTGGGCAAAGCTCTGGTCTCCCCTGAAGTGACCTCCCAGCCAGTACAGAAGGCCTGGCTCTCTCCTTCCTGGGGCACCTCCCACCGGGACACCCCTGCCCACAGAACCCGCAGACCTGGGCAGAGGGGTCCTGATTGGAATCTGCCTTGGCTAACGCCTCAGCCCTCCTGGCCTGGCTGTGGCTGACCTGGAGAAGCTGCTCCCATTTCTGCCCAGGCATGAGCTCACCAGGGTGGGCAGCTGTGGGCGTGGGGACCAAGCCCAAGAAAACCAGGCTATGGCCTTGGGGGACAGTGGCCTTGATGATGTCATTGCAGCCTGGCAGAGTGGCCAGGGCACTGCCCTCTGCACTGTCGGGACTCCGAGGCCACTCTGGCTCTTGTGCGTTGTCTGTGGTCCATGAAGTCAGACAGCAAAGCCCGGGGCAGGAGCGGGGAAGGCAGGCAGGAATTCACTGAGGCCGACACCTTCTGCCCACTGGCCTGTCCCAGGAACAGAGGGTGGCAGAAATCCTGGACCGGCTCCTAGGTCTGCACCAGGGGGAGTGCAGATGGAGTGGACTCTGCTGGTTGCCTGGCCCCTGCTGCCCCTTTCTTCCTTGTTGCAAAACTCCCTGTTGAGTCTCTTTGCACGTGGCCCAGGAAGGAATCAGGACTGGCCTGAGCCAGGCCTAGCAATCCCTTTCTGCTCGGCCAGGTACTCAGTTTCCCAACTCCCTTGCAACTAGGAGGTCATCACGTAGCCCAGAATAGGCTCATGAAACACAAGGAGTCTATTCGGTGCTTTGCCTTACCCTCCACTTCCTGCCTTTACACACAAGGTGAGGATGTGATGCCTGTAGCTGCAGCAGCCGCTTTACCATCACGAGGCATCAACCAATACAGATAAAAGCCAACTCACTGAGAAGTCAGCAGAGAGCCTGGCTTCCTTGGCTACCAAACCATTCCTGAGACCACCTCTACTCCTGAACTTCTTGTTGAATAAACAGTAAATACGCTTAAGGAATAAGCCACCATTAGCCAGGTTTCTCTCATTTGCCTCCTTCCTGACATACCAAAGCCAACTTCTTGTCTAAGGGAGAAGAAGCCCCACCTTCCAGGCTGCTGTTTTATACAAGCACCTGACTGCTGCTTTTCCTGTCTGGGCTCTGCCCACCCGGCTCCTCTTCTGGCTCTGCCTTCACCTTGCTGGGATCTGAGCTGAAAACCCAGCTCTGCGTCCCGGCTCCTGTAGGCTCGCCTGACCTCAGCATGCCTCTGGTGCTGCTGGGCTGTCTTCGCAGCTAACCCAGCTGGTGTCCCCTCCCCTCTCCAGGCCACTGCCTCTCAGGGCCCTCTGATTCCAGCCATCAAAGCGCCCAGTGGGGCCGGGTGCAGTGGCTCATGCCTGTAATCCCAGCACTTTGGGAGGCCAAGTCGGGAAGATCACTCGAGGTTAGGAGTTCAAGACCAGCCTGACCAACATGGTGAAACCCCGTCTGTACTAAAAATACAAAAATTAGCTGTATGTGACGGCGCATGCCTATAATCCAACTACTCAGGAGGCTGAGGCAGAAGAATCACTTGAGCCTGGCCCGGGAGGTGAAGTTTGCAGTGAGCTGAGATCATGCCACTGCACTCCAGCCCGAGTGATAGTGTGAGACCTTGTCTCAAAAATAAATAAATAAATAAACCCTCCTAGTGGCCCTCTCGACACACGTGGGCATGCACCAAGCAGGTGGGCAGCTGGAAGATGCCCCAGACAAGACGCAGGAGCCAAGATAGGAGTCTCCCAGCCCCTACCTAGAAATGCAGGCAACTGTCAAAAGGAGGGGGGCTGCAGAGTGTCCCCCTCTCTGCACACCCCAGGCCAAGCTACCACCCCCAGCTCCCCACTCGCGAGCTGCCTGAGCTTCCACACTCTGGACCAGCCTCAAAATGAAGCGACTCCAATGTCCGTTTTCCAGGCCGTCTGACTGGCATCCAGAGGGCAGGGCTGGCCAAGGTGGGTGGAGCTAGGATGGGAATCCTGGACTGGGCTCCTCCCACTCACTGCCGTCCCTTCCTCCAGCCCAGGGAGAGGACACAGCGCTCAGGGTCACAGGGCATGCCCTGCCCCGGGCCTGCTGCTGGAGGCCATGGAGAGGATGTCAGGGCTGGGAAGGCCACAGGGAGGAACTGCGCATGATGGGAGGGCGTGGGCCGGGTGGGTGGGGGACAGCTGGCAACTCACCCGTCCTCCCCTAGAGCTGTGACTTTTAACACCCACAATCCTGCACTGCGGCCAGGGCTGCTGCTCTGCGCCAAACCACGCAGAGGCTTCCGGTTCTGGGAGTGTCCATCACGCTGGGCATGGCTCGGGGACCCCGCCTTTCCTAAAATCTCAGGTGCCAGAAGCTCACCCCCTCAGCATTCTAGGGGTCCTAGCCCCAGCTCAGCCCATGTGGAAACATTTGCTCCCTGAAGTCCCCCACTGCTGCCCCCCAAGAGAAAAGAATCCAAGGAGGGCAGCCGCGTCTCTCCCATCCCAGGCCTGTGCCTGAGCTGCTGGGAGACCCTGCCCACCCACGGAAGGGCTGGAGGACAGGGGGGGCTGTGGATGCGTGCCTTGGGCCCCTTCCCCATCACTGCTCTGCACGATGTCTCCTGCACACCTGCGTCTGTGTCTCCAAGGTGGAAATAGTGACATGGCTGACGTAGGTGACAGCACCAATCCCTGACTCCTGATCAGCATTAGACCATTTCCAAACCCAGGTCCCACTGCCATCTCCAAGGAGGCTCTCAAACCCCATCTCCACTAAAAATACAAAACTAGGGCCTGTAACCCCAGCTACTCGGGAGGCTGAGGCAGGAGAATCGCTTGAACCCCGCAGGAGGAGGGTTCTGGAGGTACTGGGTTCAAGACCAATGCTCTGATCCATTCCACAGATGAGGAGGGGGAGCTCTGAGAGACTCGCCCAGCGGGCGGGTGGCGGTCCCACAGATGTCTCACGCCAAGCCACACTCCCCTGCAACCCCAGGTGCCACATGGTCAAGCACCCAGGGCAGACGTCAGGGCCAAGAGTAACGTGGACTTGTCACGGGCTGTGTGTGTTGACGTGTGCTCATCTGTGTTGTGTGTGTGCATGTATGTGTGTATGTGTGTGTGCCACGTGCATGCATGCTTGTGCGTATGCATGTGTCTGCTCGGGTATCCATGTGTGTGCACATGGGTATTACATGTGTGTGCATGTTTTTGTGTGTGCACATGTGCAAGTGTGTGTGTCTGTATGTGTATATATGTGTGTCCACATGCACACGTATGCGTGTGCACAGGTGCCTGTGTGTGTGCATGTGTGCGCACACATATCATGTGGTAGGCATGCGTCTCTTCCGGGGGGGCTGTTGCTGTCTGGGCTCCAGCACCCCCCTCAGGTCCGCAGTCCTCACTCAGCCTCCCTGCCACGTGGCCCTGCTCACACACTCTCTTTGGGCAATGCCGAGTGCTCCGATCGCCACAGTTCTGCCAGGGAGACAGCTCTGCCTCAGGCTCAGGTGACGCCAGCCTTCTGGTGCTGGCTCTACCATGGGGGGCAGGCAACGAGGCCGACCCTGCTGTCCCAAGAGGCTCTGTAGATATTTGGAGGCTGCCTCATCCCCCCAGACCTGTCCTCCCCCGGACCGAGCCCCTCTGGGTAACCACAGGAGCTGGCTTTCTAAGCTCTCTGGGTGAGAACGGCGCTTGTCCCCACTGGGGCTGACACTGTTGATGTCCCTCGCGCACCCCTCGGCCCCACCTGGCTCTGGCTTCTGCCTGTGGCCACCTGCAACTCTGCCCAGGGCTTTCTCCAGACCCAGGAGCTTGCATGAGCCCGCTGAGCAGGAAGTAGCCTAGGGGACATGCTACCCAGTGAGGGACAGGAGAGACACCTGGCTTCATAGCCCTAAGGTGGGCTGGCTCCGGATGTGCTCCAAACCTCCGTCTCCCAGAGGGATCGTGGGATGGAGCCCCAGGTGCCCCCACAGGTCACCTGCCCATAAACACACCCGTACTGGGCATGCCTTTCTCTGCCCTCTCCCTGCCTGAAGCCACTGCTCGATAATTACTTGTCCATTATGGATTCCTTCTGTCACTGGACTGACTCCACTTAGGGAGTTCTCTTCCCAGGCCGGGCGCAGTGGCTCATGCCTGTAATCCCAGCACTTTGGGAGGCTGAGGCAGGTGGATCGCCTGAGGTCGGGAGTTCGAGACCAGCCTGGCCAACATGGTGAAACCCTGTCTCTACTAAAAATACAAAACTAGCCAGGTGAGGTGGTGCATGCCTGTAATCCCAGCTACTTGGGAGGCTGAGGCAGGAGAATTGCTTGCACCCGGGAGGTGGAAGTTGGGGTGAGCTGAGATGGCGACATTGCACTCTAGCCTGGCAACAAGAGCGAAACGCTGTCTTAAAAAAAAAAAAAAGGGGAGTCCTCTTCCTATACACTGGGCTGAAAGCTGCTCACTTCCCAGCAGTTCCTCCTCCACGGAGTATTTTTCCATCAGTTCCTCTGTGCCCAGCCCCGTTCTGGAGGGGGAACAGCGGCCCTGGAGGGACAGAGACTCCCTCCTCATTCAGCTGTCTTCTGGGCATCCAGCCCCCCAGCCCCCCAGCCCCCCAGCCCCCAGGGCCTGGGAGCTCAGCACCATTCTGCCCTGCCCACAATCAGCCTGCTGCCTGGGACCTCCCAGCCCAAGAAGGCTACCCAGAGCCACCAAGGCCTGAGCAGTACCCGATACCTGGGACCAGCTGTCCAAGCCTGCCAGGCAACCTGGGGCTGGGAATTCCCCAGCCATACCCAGTGGATGCCCAATGCTTCTCCCCACCACCCCACGTCCCCAGGAAGCTCCCAGGCCCAGACTCCCCAGCCTGACTGACCTTGGCCTCCAGTGTGGTGAGCCGCTCACTCATGTCACTGAGCCGGGTACAGTTCATGCATTCTGAAAGAGAAAGGAACTTATATGAGAGCAGAGTGTAGACCCTAGGGAGAGAGCAGCCAGTCACCAGGATAGCATCTGGGCAGGCAGGCAAGCAGAGAAATCACCAATCATTTGGCCTGGAAAACTCCTAGTCATCCTTCAAAGCCTTATCCTCAGAGCCCCCTCCTCCATGCAGCCTTCGGGACCACAGAGCCTCCCTTCTGAGCACGTGCAGCACCCTGTAGTGTCTGTTACATTCAGACGCAGGGACGCCATGAGCTGGTGAGCACCATGAAGGCACGGGTCTTTTTCTATTTTGTTCACCCATGAATCTCAGTGCCTGGCACAAAACAGGGACTCAAAAAACATCTGACACTTGATGAGCAGATTGTGAGATGGGCCCCTGACTTTGAGAACCAGAGTCTGGGGAAGGAGTTGGGCTAATAGACACAGGCTGGGAAGGAAATGCCAAAGCCAGTCCAATCGGGGGTGGGGGACGGGCAATCAAGGAGGATGTCCTGGAGGCAGTGGCCTCAAAGATGAGACCTGAGGGCTGCACAGTGGCTGGCCAGGTTCAGCAGAGAGAAGAGCAAAGGCATTCTAAAAGAAAAAGACATGCATTCTGTGGAAGTAGAAAAGTTCCTTTTGAAAGTTTTCTTTCTTGTTAAAGAATAAATGTGCTAATAACTTTGTTAAGCCCTATCCTGTGTAGCTGTGAGACATGCCATGCTTACAGGCACATAGTACATTCTGTGTCCTTTGTACTGTAACCAAGCTATCTGTGCTGGACGTGCTCACAGGCATGTCCCAGCTCTCCACTGCTTTTACCTGTTTAGAAAAGTTTTCAATTAGCCAATTGGGTTTCAGTTTATATTGTGAGGTCTGGCTCCAGCCAACAGAGATCAGACACAGCAGTAAGGACGACCCCAAATGCGTAAGGAATAGATTTGTCTGCTTTTCCTTTGTTTATTGTACTCTTGTGGCAAAATGGCTAATGAGAGTACCCTTCCTGCAGTCCAGGATGTAAAAATTGTGTTGCTAAAAAATCCTTTGTCTCAGTGCTATGTTTTCTTTGCGGCACGGAGCATCTACTTCCAACGCATTCTGAAACAGCGCCTTTTCCGAGGCTGGGAGGGGAGTGAGAACACGGCAGTTTGGCCAATTCAGAACGCACTTGGGGGCCGCTGAGGCTGGAAAGGTCAAGGAGCCCCAACACCAGGGGCCTGGGAAGGGGCTGTAGCAGTGTCTGTAGGTCACTGGCGGGTCTTAGGCGGGTGAAATTCAAGGTCAGGTTTGCATTTTCAGAGGCTCACTCTGGCAGCAGAGCATGGAGTGGGTGGAAGAGGGAGGAACTGGAACCCAGAAGACCCATTAGGAGCCTAGTGATGCTGACCCCCAGCCAAGCACACAGCTCCCTGGGCTGTAATTACCTTTTTATGTCTGTCTCCCCCAACGTCCGAGACCTGGAGCTCTTTAATGAGGAAATGGATGGTTCAAAGCCGTTCTAAAGACTTTTATTGCTCTAGAAGTCAAGGGATGCCTAGATCCTCTCTTTCCTCAGCTCAGTTCAAAGCCTGAGCCTGCAGGAACCTCATCCCTATTCGACAGACACGTAAGAGGTATCTGGGTAAGTGAATAGCTCCGGCTTGGCATGCCAGGGCTGCCCATCGCGCTGACTGGGAGTGCTGAGAACTGGAGCTCTGGGGCACAGTCCACAGCCCCCCAACACTGTCAGCCTCCCCCTTGTTCTTGGAGATATTCCCATCTTTGTCAGTGAATGCAAATTACCTTGCAATTTTCCCTGTCCTTAAAAAAACAAAAGGTGAAACCAGGTGCGGTGGCTCACACCTGTAATCCCAGCACTTTGGGAGGCTGAGGCGGGTGGACCACGAGGTCAAGAGTTCAAGACCAGCCTGACCAAGATGGTGAAACCCCGTCTCTACTAAAAATACAAATATTAGCCTGGCGTGGTGGTGGGTACCTGTAATCCCAGCTACTTGGGAGGCTGAGGCAGAGAATTGCTGAACCTGGGAGGCAGAGGTTGCAGTGAGCCGAGATCATGCCACTGCACTCCAGCCTGGGCAACAGAGCGAGACTCTGTCTTAAAGGAAAACAAAAACAACAAAAAAAAAATTAGCTGGATGTGGTGGTGTGCGCCTGTAATCCCGGCTACTTGGGAGGCAGAGGCAAGAGAATCACGTGAACTCAGGAGGCAGAAGTTTCAGTGAGCCAAGATCACACCATTGTACTCTGTTTGGGGAGGTGTCTTAGGACCCTGGGAATAGGTGGTCCAGGCTATGCCCTCCCTAGGGGTGCTCAGTCTCGGGTCAAAAGGGGGCAACACCCTACTCTCTGCTCCTCAGCGACATGTGGGCTAGCAGAGGCCTCCTCTCCCTCCTTCCCTCCCTTCTACCCCTGGCTGGCCCAGCTCAATGATTGATAAGCATGTGTTAAGGAATAGAAATCTTTCTCCTCCATAAAACCTTGTCACTAACTCGGATGCATAAAACAGATTAAAGACTGAGATATAAACACTGAACTTTCAAACAGCTAGAATAATGGATAGTTTTCTCACGCTGGGAACTGAGCAAGACTTCACCCACGACACGTGATACAGGGAGGTGGTTTTCTGGCTAAACGTGGGGGATTGAACATAGTTTCCTTCTATTTCCTCCCAGGAAAAGGCTGATGAAGAAATAAAAGGTATCCGTGAAGCAAAGGGAAAGGCAGAGGGAGCTCTTGGCAGATGAAGGATGCAAATACGATTTTGCAAGGTGCACGCAGCCAGGTGTGCCAGCCCAGCCTTGCAAACCCAAGGTGGGCATGGAAACTGGGAGCCGCTGGCTCTCCTGGGGCTCTAGATGCCCCAGATGGGACAGGGGAGGGAGTCATCCCTGGAAACAGGGACCTGCCCAAGTTGGAAGACCCACCAACACTGACATTTGGGGGCATCCCTGATGAAATGGAAGGGTCCCTAAAAGACCAGCCTCCGTGAAGTCCCCAGTCAACAAGGTTCTGGCATTCAGGGGGCTTTCAGTGCTTTCATTTTTTATATTTTATTTTTATTTTTTTTAGACAGTCTCGCTCTGTTGCCCAGGCTAGAGTGCAGTGGTGTGATCTCAGCTCACTGTAACCTCTGCCTCCTGGGTTCAAGTGATTCTCCTGCCTCAGCCTCCCGAGTAGCTGGGACAACAGGCACAGGCCACCACACCTGGCTAATTTTTCTATTTTTAGTAGTTTCACCATATTGGCCAGGATGGTCTTGATCTCTTAACCTCGTGATCCACCCATCTCGGCCTCCCAAAGTGCTGGGATCACAACTGTGCACTACCACACCGGGCTAGTGCCTTCCTCTTAAACTCAGACAACCGATGATTCCTGCACTGCTAAAAGAAGTCCTTAATGGGAAAGGCAGAGATCAAAATGAATAGGGTTCCATTTCTTCACCTATCCACTGACCCACCCGCCCATTCTTCTCCTTACGCTACCCCCACCCTAGCCCCCCATCTACTCACCTATACATTCACCCTGCTCCCCATCTTGTCCACTTCTTCTCCTCTACCTCTAATCATCCCTCGGCCACCCAAAGGCTCTGTGGGTGTTCCTGTGACCTGGATGACACTGTGCCAACACTCTAATACTTGGGGGGAGAGGGGCAGGGCTTAAAAAAGGAAAGAAGACTGAGTATGGTGGCTCATGCCTGGAATCCCAGTACTTTGGAAGGCTGAGGTAGGCAGATCGCTTGAACCTGGGAGTTTGAGATCAGCCCAGTGAACACAGTGAGACCCTGTCTGTACAAAAACATACAAAAAATAGCCGGGTATGGTGGCATGTGCCTGTAGTCTCAGTTACTTGGGAGGCAGAGGAGGGAGGATCGCTTGAGCCCAGGAGGTTGAGACCACCCGGGCAACATGGTGAAACCCCTTCTTTACAAAAAATACAAAAATTAGCAGGGTGTTATGGCATGTGCCTGTAGTCCCAGCTACTTAGGAGGCTGGGGCAGGAGGATTACCTGAGCCCAGAAGGGTGAGGCTGCAGTGAGCCACAATGGTGCCACTGTACCACAGTCTGGGCAACAGAGTGACACCCTGTCGGAGAGTGGAGGGGAAGGGAGAGGAGTGGAGTGGAGGGAAAGGGAGGGGAGGAGAGGGGAATGGGAGGAACAGGGGAGGGGAGGGAGAGGGGATGGAAATGGGAGGG